AATTATTAATAAATATTTTCACTGAAAATGATGACGTATTGAGGAATAATAAGAGCCATAGGAAGCTAAGAGCTGCGGCTGAGAATCACTGCTGTAAAGAAATGTTTTGAATGCACATATAAAAGTTTGTGCAGTTGAATCCGCGATCACATTTAGTAACTTGGCGAACAACTTCATTGACTTCATAAATATCATATAGTTTCATATTACCATGAGACTATCTACCAATATATTATGTGGTTATCTAGCATAGGGTAAGATATGGTTTTATTAATAAGAAGCGACTATATAAATTAAACAGGTGTATTTGTACTACAACGTCGAAACGCCAGAAAAGCAATCCAAAGTAGCTTTATCTGGTATTTGAATATTCTATAGAACAATTCTGAATCAGTTCAAATGTGTCACCTTCTCAAATTTGTTGTTGAGGTGGTCTCCCGTGGTCAATATTTTGGTATAACTTCTGTCTACCAATTAAACGGCCGTGAGTTTATATGTAGTTAAATCCATTCATTCATTTTAGGTGATTATATCAAGCCAATACAGCTAGCAGGGTGTGTTCATGTTTGTATAAAGAGATCTAAAGTAGTTTCAGACCATTTTCTAAAATCTAATAAATATCCCGTTCATTTATATATTCAAATTCGTGAAATTCGAAATATTTGATATGATGATGTCAGTGTCACATACGTTAATAAGTAATAACTACAGTTACCAAGCTTTGAAACTTTTGTTAGTGTGGGTAGTGTGGGAGAATTAATCTGACAAAATTAAAGAATTCCTTCTTACTAACTAAAAGTACAAAATCGACGGAAGGATACACGAACCAGGAGCAGAATAGGTTTTACATGGATTCGAATATAAATCATTAATAAATTCTAAATAGATTGAGATGATGAAAATAATAGAATAATAAATTGTTTCATGGACGCTTCATAATTTATACAATACACAACATTACTTCGGAAATTTCCGCCTTTCAAAAAAAGATTATAAATAGGTTCAAGTTGCCTGCCATACCCCGGTTGACTACACTTGGCATAATCTACATTCTATTGTAACAATTCAACTTTTTTATTACTAAACGCCTGAAAAGCAAACAATGTTGCAATATCAACTACACACGCCACGGGTGTTTCCAACAATATTTTTGACAATTTTCGCTTTTATTGTATTCCAATTTATTGCACCAAGTTGTCGTGCCTCTAGAAATTTTACAGGAGTGTCATGCGTTTACGTTCGGAAATAGTTCATGCTTATGTTTCATCGGATGCACTATTTTAAAGACATGCAGCGTGCCAAAAGACTTTTTGTTAGCTGTCTCAAACATTTAGGAATATATCGTTTTAATTAAGTCCTGTATGAAGCACAGTAAAAATTTGTTTGCGTGCAGAAATGGGGTGATATTCTATATTGAGATGCTGCAATAAAACCTTAACTGGAAATAGCGAATGACAAGATTAGTCAGGCGAAATCATATTGTATCGTAAATTACTCAAATCTTTTCAAATAAACAAATTGTTGTAATGTCAATTACCTTGCGTATATAAACATTAGCAATATTATATCACGAAAAATGTTTGTTGCATAATAAAATGTACAATAAACAATTTATGAGGTTATATGAAAATACATGCTCTTCGCAATTAAGTTGTAATTTCCATATAAAAGTAGATCTATCACGCTTGAATTAATGTGATTATTTGTTTGTAGTTTCATTGAAATGAATGGCTATTTAGTTCAAATCGCACAAATATATTGAATATTCGAATATTTGATTCAATTTGATAGATTTTCTTCCTAATTATATTTACAAACTTCATGGTCGCTATTTCAGTATAGGTCGTATAACATCACATGACGAGTAAATAAGTAGTCACAACACATACCCGTAATTTTCCATTCGACAATATCCACAAAGTTCGAATTCCCCTATTGGGTAACTTGAACATAGAAGGTATATTTACGCATCGCTGCATCTAATTTTATCTCACCGTTTTTTCGTCGTTTGGACAGTGGTTGCGCCAGCGTCTTGGTGAGATAGCTACGCGGAGTTAAAATAACGATCTTGTATAGTCATTTTTATGCATGCAAGGCTAGGTTGTGCATTTTATTGGCGCGGTTAATTGCATATTTTTATTTTAAAGTGGTGAGTCGAGACTAGGGATGGCGGAATCGAGTCCGGATTCTATTACAGAATCGGTTATTCGCGGAATCGACTAGAATCGATTTCGATGCACTGGAATCGATTGTCGAGTTTGAAACTTTGATTGCAAACAATGTGCAACGTTTTGTGGCGATTCCTTCACATATATGTATAAACTGCTTCACTGATATGCTGAGTTGCTACGACGCCGCAAACTTCACTATTATATAATATATATATATTTCGCTAGAAGGCTTTAACGTTTATTTATTTTGAAAATCTCTGTGGGTTCTGAAGGATTTTCTTTGTGCGATTTTGTCTCTTGTGACAGATTGGATACCCACACTTCTTGTCCGTCTAGAATTTGAACAACGTGCTCTTGTTTGATTTCATATGGTATTGCTTAGGTGGGTAGGATTATTCGGTAAGATATGTCGAGGAATCGAGAATCGGAATCGAAAATTTAGGAATCGGATAGGAATCGAATACTTGTAAGTACTCATACTTGGCATTCTTAGTCGAGACTCGCTCGGGGCTGAGTTTGAACCGCACTTGAGCCGCTACCGAGTCAGGCATCGATGGAAACTGAATAGAATTGACGAAAATTCCCGTCATTTATCGTGAAAAATTTACACAGATAACTTGAAAAATACTAATATATAAAGAAACATATTTCGCCAAATATAATTTATTGTTTAAGCCCTGTGATTGTTTGTGCTGCTTTGTGTTTACTCCGAATTTCGCCCATTTTCGATCTTTATATTTCAAGTAAAAATAGCATGATATTCTGAATACATATATATCCACATATATTATATCTATAATATTCTTTCATGCGTGAATTTTGTGTATTGTACAATAGTCTTTGTAATAAACACTTGTACAGGTTCATTCAACTGCAATGAGTAATAAGAATGCCTGTCATGATACGCTGTTGGAACAAATGTCATTAAATGTTGTTTCAATATGTTACAAAATTCTATTTCATCCATGACGCATCATCGTTTTGCGGAGTGCATCTCTAGGAATTCAAGGTTTGTTGATTCACCCGTACCCAATCGCGCATTAATTATCAGGGCGAGAGTGTGAAACTAGTACGCGTATATCATTTAACATTTAGAAACTATCTGGCCTAACCCATATTGTACTTTTTGTTGGCTACTTAAAGCACACGCATGGTACGGTCATTAATATCAGGTGTAAGTGTAATGGGTAATTGAACATCACGAGACGGGGTTTTTGCTATCCAACTTATGCGTCATAGACACTCAAAAAGTTCAGCAGACCGTGGTTTCAGACGAATATAAAAGATTGATTATCGTTTTCGTTCAGTAAACAACTGACTTATACGCGTGTTGGAAGGAATTTTATTATGGCGTGTTCTAGAAATACTGATTGAATCGGGAGATATGTAGTTTCAATTTTTATAAAAATATATGAGCAGATTGTGTTAACGCGGCTGAAAATCATTGTTTATTGAAGCAGAAATAGGGTCTGTAGCATGCAGATTTAGGCAAAGGAAATTGAGATTGCAAATAACGTTGTCGCCAGCAATGTTTTTTGTTGAATAATTTTGCAATTTGAAAAATGTATAACATATCGCATATATAATTAATTATCAAATGAATCCAGATTTTGCATGCAAGCAGATAACTTATTCGTCTCATTTAAATAAAGCAAGCATGCTTCGTCTACGGCTCGCTCGTGCCTTTGTCGATTCTTTTCGTGTATGTTCCAAGAACTGAGTCTATTTTTAAATGGTCACGACAGGACAAATTTTAACAAACTAGTTCTAACATAACCAATATCAAACTTTTTCAGTTTGGGGCATCAAAGATGTGTTTAGTGAGTAAAAGTAGAAAATTTGTTTGTTAGAAGGTGAGATTTACAGCTGATAAATGTCTGTAAAAAAAAACAGATTGGCAATTATATATGTAACGAAACTTGAGTTAAATATATCATGTAAGTAAAGCTTCCACAAATAGCATCGATCATCGTTATGTAACGTATTACGCGAATCCCTAGCAAGCCATGTCAGATGTCACCCATGGTTCAACAAATTGAAAATTGGATAGGTGAATGTGTAAAAATATCTCCTGGAAATTTGGATTTGTGTTCTGGTATGAATTACGGAACATACACCACAAATAACACTTGAGTTAAAACAAGCTAATATAGTCGAGTGTGAAGGATTTACGTTAGCTAACACGAGTGAAATTCCTGACGTTTTTGTGGTCGCGATGACATATGTGACTCGCACGTAGACCTAACTATGGTAGTGTCCCAGGTAGGATTCCACCTCACTTGTGATGAAAAATTACTGTAGATCTGGTTGAACTTGAAACACTATATTTTAAGTTAATTGAAAGTAGATATTTTGAATTCCATGGCAACCTAGATTACAGAGTCATGTTTAGATTAAAATCTTGAAACATCCTATCCTATCCCATAAAACATAAAGCTCGCATAGTCGACAAATCGAAATTTAATATTCGCATTGTCAGTTACCATGGTTCACTTCAATTCACTTTATACAAAAATGCATCTGCTCGCATAAGTTTTAGCATTCTTTACAGTCTAGCAATGAAGGCTTGCATACGCCAACGTTTTTGCTATCAAAATTTGAGTTATAAGTTTGGTTCTGTAATAAATTCTTAAAATCCGTAGTCAGGAGTCCGAGTAAAAATGTTTCTTAAGCAAATTTATTTTATTCGAACGTCAGAAGTCAAATTTATTGCTGATTTTCTCCGACTACTATCACAGCACTGATTGCAAGACGATTCTAATACAGAATAATACTAGATCAGATTTGTGCTCGTGATATTTATACATTATAATGTTTTTTCTTGTTGTGTTGCAGAAATTATTTGTATTATGTTCACAAAATCTAACTTACAATATTATATAAACAATGTCACGTTCAGATACAAATTGTTTCATGGCGAAATATGTTCAATGTATTTTTATGCTGTTTAATTTATGGAGTCCTGTCTTTTCCGTACCAGGTAAGTCATATTTCTTGGTTGGAACTTGTGATTGGAAATGCTTCAGAAATTTATTAGCCGGAGAAGAAAAGTTGCAGGGATTATAGCTGGCCGAGTCACTCATTCTAGTTCTGCGCTAGCTACCTTTACCCTGGTAAAATTTATCCATAATATATATCTATTATATATATATGTTTTCTGTCACAAACAACGAGCAGCAACCATAATAAAGTCGAAACCATGACCACGTCAATTCGGTATATATAACCCATACTATTAATAGTCTGAAACTTACATAATTGGGACTTACTATTATTAAAGCAATCGGCATTCTAACAACACTGCACACCAGATTTATGTACAAAACTTTGCAAACAAATATTTTCCGTTTCAGCACAAATGGATATACCAACGATATCGAATCTCAAAGCATTTTCTTTTGACGTCGGATTTACTACGGTTGCCGATGCTGTAAAATATCATGTCACTGTTTCACCAAAACATTCATCGGGTTTTCTTTCCTATACCGTGACGGAATCTGGAACTACTGTGAGCATATGTAGTAGAAACTTAAATGGTTATATAGAATGTTTGTTTTTCTCTTCTCTCTAGGTATACTCACGTGTATAGTTTAGGATTTATATCCTCCACCCAGCAGAAAAATACGTTATACCTCCAGTTCCTAAATTTCAATCAGCTGAAACAGTATTTTTTATTATCATTTTATACAGATAACCGGTTTATCGAGTAGCACACTATATCAAGTTTCAATAAAAGGAGAAAATTCAACAGGATTTGTTGGCCCAGATAGCAATTTGACCACAATACACACACGTGAGTCGACTTTCTTCATAATTAAATTGTTTGGTTTGGATAGTTTTCGACCAGCCTGACAGGCACCCATTTCACCCGTGCTAGCCATGGCTTGTAAATGTAAAGAGAAAATACTTAATAATACTATGACAATGTCACAAACAACTTCTACTACCACGACAGTTTTCCCCATCTCATAAAAAGCAACCGTTTCCGGAATATTAGTTTAAAAGAGTATTCGACTCGATGGAAATGAGATTATAATTGTATAAAAAAAAATTTGCTCTGTCATCACTGTAAAATAAAATCATATACCATATCTCTTCTTGGTCATATTTAAAAGTTGGAACCCGGAAGAATATTTTAAAAATTAATCTGCAAGTGTGTAATCATAATGCGGATTTTTAAACAACCTCAATAATTTTTGGTAAGACAGCTTTCTATTGAGTGCTGTCGAATTCAATAACGCGACGCACAATAGCACACAGAACTGAATTTTCGCAAATGAATATTCTTCATACTGGCGCAAATGGATATATCGATATATTTCTACTTCATTTCATCATTGTCGTTTTGATGCATATTTTTACAGTTCCTGAACCACCAACAATACGAACTAGTAACCAATTTCCAGATTCAACATTTATTTTCTTTTATTCGAAAAACTATGCAAGAGTTTCAGAATGGACAATACAATATAGAAAACATGGATCAAATACTACAGCTACGGTCACGACAACTACGGGACAATATTATTCGTATAGGTCTGTGGCATTCTCTTTTTAACGTTTCTGATTATTCTGCTTCAATGCACACTCTTTTGAAATTTAGGCTATCCGGTCTATCTGGTGACACGACTTATGAGATTCGAGCAAGAGCTTCAAAACTAAACAGTTCAATTATCTTGGCAGAATCCGATGTGGATTTCTCAGCCTGGCAAAATTTTACTACTAGTAAGTCAATTTCTCATTCCATAGAAGATTTCAAGCTGAAAATATTAACACTGTTTTATTTCCTCGTGCGGCAACTTTCATTATTTACAAACGTCTCGAATTTTGGAAATTTGTGTGTTGCGTTAACGTATTAATAAGTATAATGTGACTACATATATTTTGTGGGCATCCTGATGGTACAAATTCTTGTTTATGTGGCTCATTCAAAATTATGTTGATTTTATCACATCAAATACGAATACGCTATCATATAAAAGTTGAGATAGTTCAGATGCGAATTGTGGTGTTGCTAACGTTTAGTAACGTTATACTGCAACAAAGCCATAAACTATAATTAAACTAGAAAGTGACCGACCGACTGTACTTATATTTTTTTCCTTTTCCTTTAATTTCTAGTTCCACATCTAATATTTGGAAGAGTGATATTAGACAATGTTACTTATACAATTTCGCATTCGACTGTAAACAGTCCCGAGTGGAATTCATCTTCTGAAACAATATCAAGCGCATACTCATCCATACCTAACAATGGAATCAGTTTGCTCAGAATCGAGAACAGAGGTGGAAATCCAATTGTTCATTATCAAATGAAAGTCAAAGATGAGCGGCTACCTTCAACAACAAACTACACACTGACAGGGTCGGGATTCACGCGTTCAGCGATTAATAATGGAGGTACAAAAACGACCTATGTGCAATAAAGTGTATAACCTTAAAAAAATATCTGACCTGTCTTCTTTGTGACTTGTTAGTTTCAACCATTTGATAAATTTCAATTTTGTCGTCTTGGTTTGGATAATTAAAAGAGTGTACGGATTCGGCAAATACGTTCATTTTTATTGATCTACCCTAACTTTTTGTTTATGTATACTTTCATTCAGGACAACCTGTTGGAACTCCATATTCTTTCAATTCGGCACCGTCGGATACGAGCGTCGCGTTCGGGCTCGCATATCGTCCACTTGGTGGTAGTGACTGTAGGAAACTGATAAATAGATATATGTTTATGACACGAGACGACGGGTCTACTACTGAGATATCTTTAAATGTTGTATCAGCCGAAGGAGCCGCTGCGGATGAATCTGATTCTTTAATCATAAACGACAACGGCGGTAAGAATTAATTTGCTGTGTCTAAACAATTAAATTTAAAACGGCGATATGTAGAGATGATCACCAATCGCATATCTATTATTTTACTTATATCTAACGTTCGAGAAGTAGGATGTCCTATACCGGTTAATACTGTTGGCAGTTAGTATCTTTGTACTGATGGTTTTAAAGCAACCGAATTGATAATGTGAACCCAGCAGAATGAACATGTGATCATGATGTATAATTACTGATCTTATCTAAATGAATCAGAGATACTTCTCAGCACAAGAGGGTGAAAGAATAGAACTACGCTGAATTCGAAGTATTTCAGTCGAGCATTTTATTTTCATATATTTAGTACTTGAGCGGGATGACGGAGAACTAGATGATTCTGTTAAACCGAACGTCGTTATCGGTCTTGCACCGAAATTTAGGATCATGGATTGTCTGAGAGATTCATCGGACTCCGATTCTATTTATTCTGAGGCATTAGTAACTGTTGCCATTGGGACCGAAGAACCAATATTTCCATTCTTCATCACAACAGGTAGTATATTTCATCCACTTCCAACAATGTTACAAAGTAATTGCAATAGAATCTATTATGCTCGTCTGGCAATAATTTCCGCTGTTGGTTTTTGCATTCAGCAGTGATATACAAAATACAGGAAGAAGATTGCTCGAAATATGTGTTAGGTGTCCACAAGCGTTGACGAATATCCATAAACACACAGTGTGGTTATGCCAAAAATTATTATTCAATAATCTCTTTGTTATTCAGCCCCACTACCCAACGTAATCAATTCGAGCGCAACGACATACTCATCATCGACTGATGGAACTTCTCTCACACTAAACATACCAGCTGTTGACAAAGCAGTCAAATACGAAATTTTAAATGGAACGGCACCCATTGCTACGCTCAACGAGGCGGATATTGATGGATCTTCAAGTTTGAATGTGCGTTTCAACATTAATATGTCTCAGTCAAAAAAACTTTTCCAATGACTTTACTTATTTATTATGTTTAAGTTAATTTCTCGATATTCAAAAAAAATATTTCAAACACTATTATGATTCCGAACCTAGCGTAAAAATACTATATTCGCATTGATTAACAAAGAATATGATTCAATATATCACACTAGAGACTGAAATGATTTTTATAAAATTATCTATTGCTAGCTCGCTGTGGATTCTTTGCAAGAACAGACGACTTACAGTTTTAACATCAAGGTTACTCTACGTCAACAAGATGGAGAAACTAAAGATGTAACATCTCAGTCACCCATCTCCGTAAACACAAGTATGTTTTTGCTCATGAAAAAAATATCATAATGAGTTTGGTTAGTTCACGTTGACTAATTCACAACACATTATCATAATTTCATAGGGCCCTAGCTTCGAATGTATGGACTTTTTGTCCAGAAGTAAAGAACGATATTAACTATTATGTTTAGGTTCCGACCAATGTGCTATATGCGATGAAAATGCAAGTTGCATCATTCAACTAAATGGTAACGTTGAATGCACCTGCAACACAGGGTTTATTGGAAATGGTACTACTTGTGAGCGCGTGACAACTACAACAGAAGAGCCGACTCCTCCCAGTTCTACCACTCAGTCGACAACAGGTAAAATATTTTATTATTTTAGAGAGTTGTGCTCAATAACCTGAAATTTGAATGAAAAAGAAATTCAATCATATATATCAAATAGTATTACTAAATATGACTTCGTACAGTTACATATTAAATTATTGCAAGGTTTGAGACAACAGGTCGTATGCATCAAGTTGGGTCAAGCCATTCTCACTTTATTGGAATTCATATATTGACATCTTTGGAGTGCTCTATAATCAACTCTAAAGGATAAAACGTCGCATATTAGCATACGCTCCACTAATTTGCAGTATCAGAATGGCCAATACTGGAACGATAACAACTTTCGGCTTTATTTGTCGCCTCTGTGTTTCAATACTATATTGCTTGTTGAGCCTCGGATAGCAATAAACCAGTACATTCAAAACAGTCTTCTACTCTAAAATGTTCAGTATCCAGATTTGGTTCATAAAGGGTTTTACGAGGTGCACTATATATTATAGTTGACACATTTCAAAAGCTATATCTGCTCAACATTAATGAATAACATACATTTGATGTATTTTTATATTGTTGTACAAGCACGCCTCGACAATAAAAGCCTTAGCACAAAATTAATTAACGCCTGTCTTATCCAATATCGCGACAAGTATCTTCAGTCTGGATAGATATATGTCATACATTATTGAGCAAGCGGTGTTCAATTGCAAATTCTACTGCCATTGAAATTATTACTAGTTTCTGACATTTACAATTAAACAAAGCAGAGTGGTTCCACAAACTCATAGAACAGCGTTAGAAAACAGGAATTTCATTAATATTTTAAAATTTGCGACGGTCAGAGCCAGTTTTACTTTCGGAATTCTTGATACTAATTCAATTCAGTCATTCAAGTTTCATAACAATTTCACACTTACGAGACAAAATAGAAACGTCATAAAAAAATCTTGCCCTGAAGATATTGTAAAAAATGAAATCCGTCAATACGCTATTTAAATATCTTCAATTTCATATTTATAAACTCATTCATTTTTCCTAACATTATGAAGCATGTATTTAAGAATATTGTTAATATGGATACACATTATAGTTATACGATTAGGGCATAAATGGCTCCAGCTTTTTATATTCAATCTGACATATTTCACCCCCGTTAATCTCTTTCACTGTTTTCATATTTCGGACTTATATAAGGGATTTGTTGAACATCGTAATGATCATGTGCAAAATAAAATATTATAAAGGTTTATTTCTTGCGTGTTGAAAAATATGATTTAAGGCACTATTGAGTAATATGTGTTTTATCCATTTTTTACGTATCTTATTTCTTCTTATCTTCATTTCGTCTTGAATTAGTGGCCTTGTAAGTTTGTGTCTTTGAAATACAAACTTGGAAAGTTCAACTTCAACTTTTATATCAATCACTCATTGTCTCTTCCTCATTTATATTAATTAATGGACCTCGTGGTCGTGAGCATTGTCTTCAAAATGGAGAATTTGAAAATTCAACTTCAACTGTTAAACCATTCATTTGGTTTATAATTTTCATATATAAGTATAATTTTGCTTATACTTTTTATTCTATCAACAACGACATTGCTACAAAAATGTCTACCCCGACAGTTTTAACAACTACAGTAAACACAATTTCGACTACAGATTTAAGAACCTCTCCCGATTCAGCAACCACTACAAATCCGAAAAAATCCCTTATTCAAAGAACCACTCCAACTCTAACAACAACAATTCTAACAGCTACCGCGAATACAACTACTGAGATCCACCAACCACTCCCAATCCAACAACCACTATAGAACTGACAACATCCCTCAACCCCACCACTACTCCATCTTCATCAACAACTACCGTAAACCCAGCTACTATTACAGATACATCAACCACTTCATATTCAACAACTACTATCGATCCAACAACACCTCTAAACCCTACCACTACTCCAGCTCCAACAACATCGGTTTCAACAACCACCGTAATCTCAACTACGACTGCAGATTCAACAACCACTATAGAACCAACAACACCTCTCAACCCCACCACTACTCCAGCTCCAACAACATCGGTTTCAACAACTACCGTAAACCCAACTACAACTCCCAATCCAACGACCATTATAGACTCAACAACATCTCCCATCCCTACCACTGCACCAGCTCCGATAATAACTACCGTAAACCCAACTACGACTACAGATTCAACAACTACTATAGAATCAACAACATCTCTCAACCCCACCACTACTCCAGCTCCAACAACTACCGTAGAGCCAACTACTATCACAGAATCAACAACTGCTGTGGATTCTACAACACCTCTCAACCCTACCACTACTCCTGCCCCAACAACAATCCGGCCAACTACCGTAAACCCAACTACAACTGCTTTTCCAACAACCACATTCAATCCAACAACCAGTATAGAACCAACAACACCTCTAAACCCCACCACTACTCCGACTCCTGTTCTGACAACAACAATCTTAACTACTACTGTAAACCCAACTACGACTACAGATTCAACAACCACTATAGACCCAACCACACCCCTCGACCCCACCACTACCCCAGCTCTAACAACAACGATTCTAACAACTATTTCAACAACCATTTCCAATCCCACAACAGACCTAGCAACATCTCTCAATCCCACAACTACTCCAGATCCAACAACTAACGTAGACCAAACTACTATCACAGATTCAACAACAGCTGTGGATCCCACAACACTTCTCAACCCTACCACTACTCCAGCTCCAACAACAATGCCGCCAACTACCGTAAACCCGACCACAACTGCATTTCCAACGACCACATTCAATCCAACAACCACTATGGAACCAACAACAACTATCAACCCTACCACTACTCCACCTCTAGTTCCGACAACAACAATTATAACAACTAGTGTGAACCCAACTACAACTACAGATACAACAACCATTCCTGATCCAACCACCATTCATGATCCAACAACCAGTATAGACCCAACAACATCTCTCAACTCCACCACTACTCCACCCGCGACCACAACCAAAGATGCAACAACCACGCCAAATCCAACAACCCCATTAGATTCCACAACATCTCTCAACCCTATCACTTCCCTAGCTACAAGTGCGCCTCCAGATCCAGGTACAGCAGGTATGATAGTGATGCACTGAGCGCTTGTTTTTATTTGGGGATTTTTACCGAACTATGAAAAATAATCTAGATCTTCAGTATGACAATTCTGGTGCTAATTTCTGTTATTTCAGTAGATATTTAACCGCAGCAGACCAAACTTCCCATTTGATTACTTTTCCGAATCTGATTGTCTTCTTGATCTCTCTATACCAGTGTTTCTCAATCCGAGTCGGCGTTCTCTAATGAGCCAGAAATTCACTGCGGGTCGCAAACGTTTTTGAGAAACTTAACTATATCAGCCAAGTTACGATTAACGTTAGAATTTACATAAAACATAAAATGCGAGTTAGTTCACATAACATTAATCGAGTCAATAATTACTGGATACTGGGTAGGGCTAGGCATATATTCGAATATTCAACTATTAGAATACCGTGTTTCTCCGAAAATAAGACGGGTGCTATTTCAATTTTTTTCCAAAAATTACACTAGGGCTTATTTTCGGGGATGTCCTATATTTTCATTTATCAAAAACAAAATTACAAAGTAGAGAATTGCGAGATTTTCAAATATACAAAATATGGAAACCGATATTCATTTACTTATAAATGCAGTTTTAATAAATAATTAGGAAAGTAATTAATTGATTAATTAAATAAATATTTAAGAAAAAATAAGAAGATTAAGAAATAATTACAACTAAATTTTCTAAATTAAAAAACGGCAATACAGAATACTAAAAATAAAACGGAGCACACAATAAGTTTTGTTTTATGATGGTCCGCGACCGATTAAAAACGCTGTTTTAGACATTGCAAATTGCAAAATTTCGGATGCTACTGTAGTATACGTATCAGGGCATTTTCCCTTAGGATTCTTTGCTTTACTGCTTCCACAATGGTACGTACAGTACTTGAGCGCCGTAAGTATTGTACGAGAACAGCTCAGATTTGTCGAATTCACAAAAATACGAATCAAAACAAAATATAATCGGGCACTTTACCACGCATTTTTGTGTCCACAGATTGTCATTATATTTTCTGAGTAGTATTGCTTTTATTTCGTCAACACAACCTCAGATTAAAAGTATCACAATTAAATTATCAATAAAGCAAGAACATGAATATATATATGTTTTGATGAACTAATATACTTTGATTATATTTTTATTAAATACTAATTCCAGTTGTACTTTCTGGAAATTTATAGCAGATAGTAGGATTTTTCTAACAGCGATAACAAGATCGCAAAAAATAATTCTTAAAACTGAATATAAACGGGCATATATTCTCACATTATTATGTTCGCAGATTGCCGTGGCATTTTAAAGAAGTAATGCTCTCATCTTGTCATTTTTCGACGCAACCGCGAGTGGCCATGAATACAATTAAATTAAAATAGAAGACCTTTTAAATTCTCGTCATTGTCATGAATTAAATATCTTGCGGCAGAAAAGGCCATTTATACAATAAAAAAGTCGGCTCTCTTAACAAACGCGCAATTGCGGCGAGTTTCCGATTTTGGAATATATATGTTGAAATTCTGTCCTGTTTTGGTTTTATCATTTCTTCACACAGAGTACGGTTGTAATAAACGCACGTTGAGTCCGCAAAGGTTTTTGCCGGTGAGAAAATAGTCCGCGGTTGGGAAACGCTGCTCTATACAGTAGTGCCACATAGTAAATTCTTTCACATATAAAAATCCTCTTCGAATCAATAATCACAATCGATGAGCACATTTCAAGCCATGAACCATGAAGCGACCGACTACCTCAAAACAAAATATTCCCAGATCATTTCTTCAAATTTAATGTCAATATCATATTCAACGAACACTCTGCATCGAACCAAATCTGGTCAAACCAATATTGAAATATTACGTACTACTCAAGATCTTATACTAATTTGCTTACAAACATTAACATGTGATAGCGTCAACTAATTTGCACAGAAAAAAACGCGGATCTATTTATTCGAACGCATTGGGATATGGAATCTAGTAGATTATCAGTTTGATTTACTTGCTAATCTAAATACTAGAATTGTTATAGTTAGCACCACTTCTTCGGAATCGCAACCTAATTTTGTATAAATATTCTAATTGGTGCAAATTATTATATACCAATACCATCTATACAGTAACAGCTGGTATATCCTGGGGGTTTTCAAACCAATGTGCTCAGGATATACTAGGGCTTGTGATTTGTTGTGAATGAAATGTGACGTTCTTTTTCCCGACGCGTTTGACATCTTTATGTTGATAAATCGTAACGACCATGTAGCCTATAGCCTTCCAGATGTAAATGTTGCTACTGAACTTTTCCACAAAAACATTTCAAGGTATTCTACGTGATTGATGATCACACTATCGCAAATTTATTTCTGTAGGCTAAAGTTTTTTCTGACCAAGGGGATAAAAATACCCAACTTTACTCTTGCCACAGCACGCTTGCGTTATCCACATCCAGCGTGAAAATAAAAGTTAAAGATGTAGTATTTTAGTTCGAGAACGTGCAACAAGCCAACAACTACATGCCAAGATTAGCTGGATAGTATCTGGTTTCGCATGTTGGATGCTATAAACACTTCCAAAGGCATTAACAATATTTTACGTCGCAAACTGGAAATGGAGCTATATCTTTTTATGAGAATACAGCAGATAGCGATTAGTTGGCGTTTAGTACAAATCGTATACAGTACGAATTTACGTCTCAACTTTCGCAGCATTACCGTGTCGCTGAGAATAATCCAGCAGCGAAGAAAAGAACATTACCGCAAAGTATTAAACCAGTTAGTAGCATAGCAATGAAAAAAATTTATACCAGTAGTTCATATTTTAAACCAAAATTTCCCATACTTTAGGGTTCTGTAATTGCACAAGAGTATAATGAGTTCCCAGAAAACGTTTTGAGTACAAATAAAACACGGAAATCTGTAATCTTCATCGCTGATACCATTTGTTTATTCCAGATTAGGGCGTATTGAGTTATAAAATACTTCTCTCTTTTCTTCGAGACTTTCGTTCTTTTAAAACACTCAGGAAATTCTCCAGAAAGCAAGTGCTACTTGAATGCTTACTGACATCGTTTGCTAGCCTACTAACTGACACAAGCTTTGTAAACTACATATATATATGAACACCATCGGCCTGAATAGAGAACTTGAAATATAGTCAAGCGGATATGTATTTTGTTTTGTAGTACACTGTTCACATTTCAACTCACTTAAATTACTATTTTGTAGAACAAACTTCCACATCGATGGAGCCTACTACATCGACGGCATCAGAACCGACCACGACGCCAGGTAAACAGCTTGATATAATTGTAGTTGTAACATCGGTATACCAGGGCGGTTCAAAGTTGGCGGTCTCGCGGGCCACAGTAGTGCCAAGAATAGGTAAACAGTGCAATTCAAAACAAACTTTTTTATTGTCCAAGCACATTGATCATTATTTGTCATTTATCACGCTAACTCATGCAAAAACCACAAAAAAACTCACTGAAACGTGCAAGAATCTTACCATACCTACATTAAGTGTAAGATTTCAAACCTTTCATAACTAGACAAATGCCGATTTAGATTGTCACTGACACAACTTGCACACATATCAAGCGAGCATTGTTGTATTTTCTTTCCCATATCCACTCCAAAACCGGTTTAATTGGTCATCTTTCTTCTCAAACTCATGTGTACAAAATAACTTATATATAACTGCGGATTGAACGACCGAATTTTACCAAATTTGAGATCCATGAAGGTAAATTACTAAATTTCCTGACATATCGGCAGCATTTTTTGTAATACTGTTTAGGCTGATTGCAAAAAAAGAACACCAAGCAGAAATTATATTGTTCAGCCATAACATTCATATTTAGTTATCAGGCATATCCAACCTAGGCTAGTAGATTCCTTATTCGATTTTTAGTTTCCTATAAAGCCTATTTTGTTATATTTCCGACCAAAAAGATAGAAAGTCAGGTAACAATTTAGACTAGCCAAGCACAATATTCGACTTTGCTGGTTGCCCCAGCTAGCCTTAACACTAGTCAATTCAGTGACATTAGTGATGTAACAATATGCCAAAAGACATTTCTGTTTTTTTTTTTATGACAAAACAGCACCAAATGAGATTTTTTGTTTACCCTCCCGCAAATGGGACGCGGGCCACAGATAATGAAGTCTGCGTTTGGACCACCCTGGCATATACCTTGAATCAATTTTGATAGCACTTCAAGGCAGTAGTGTTGGTTATAGGAAATACATACAGCATACAAATTATGCTGGTTCGCGGTGAAAGTACAACCTTGCCTAGTCTATTAGATAAAAATTGAAGGGGTTGTGGGTTGTGGCAAAATTGTATTTTTAGAGTCCGGTAGTGTAGTAAACACTCCATAGTAAACACGCCATAACTCATATATATTATTTAGTAATTATTTCGAGCGGGCATTTTCGGCAGGACAAGTTCAATATCTGTTAACTGGCTTTTTTACGCCAGCAGCTCAACTACAATGTGAAAGTTATAGGGAAGTTTACAAAATTATCTTGTGCTATCAGATTACATTTGTTTTGAATTTGCTGGATTAAGGTACAGAATAGAATGAACCTAAAAACTGAATAATATTACAGCTAAGCAATCATAATAATGCAGTGTAATCATTAGATATACCAGAGGTTAAAAATAACTTCACTTTCAATAACGGCTGCATTAATACTTGTTTTAGAATGTTCATACGAATCAGCTGAAAACACTAATTTTGCACCTGAGTTATCATCCGTAACAGAAAATTCTATACAAGTTTCATGGGCAAATGCAACCGGCGTAACGACATTCTCGGTAACATGGACGTGTTTGAACTGCACAAGCTCTGATAGAAATATGAGGTAATACAATAGTTTATTTAAACAATGATAGTCTTGCAGTAAGCTGAGAGATTTGCTGAAAATTGTATATTAAAATTTTTGTGTGCTATTAGTAATTTTAATAGTTAGGTTCTCAATTACTAAACCTTTTCAACTACGCATTTGCAAATATGCCACAATAGTGAGATGCCATCCTCTCAAAACTTTTAAATATATAAACAATGTCGTAACGAACCAGCTGTGAACTAGAAAAAAAAAATCAACTAGAGAAGAAACTCCAAAACTGTGAAAAAACGAATTTCATCCTCATAATAATTTTAATTATTTCTCCTTTTTGCGAGTTTCTGCACGCAAAATTATCCATTGAATATGAACATATGCATATGTGCATATATATATATATATCGCAAACAAATTGCCAAATTGCTGTTTTCAGACCATAGCTCAATTTTGGTGTGTAATTCCAGTATAATCCCATGATTCCGTGAATATCGTTTACTATTCATGGAATGCAGACTCACTTTTGAGTTTCTTTAACAAATTCAAATGGTCTTACCTAAAATTATTTCTCGTTATATACCAGATCAACGACTGGTCAAGAACAGAATATCGACGGGCTTGTCGCTGGAAATCATTATGAAGTTTGCGTGACTGGGAATCTATGTTTCAACAATACTTTCAAATCTGCAACGTTTTGCGCAACCACGCCCACTCGTAAGTTAACCCCTTCCAGCTAAAATTTGCTATCTATTATGTAAATGTGCTTAAATGTCAATAAGCAGCTGGCTAAATTTCAAACATCCGGGAAGGATTCGATCATAATACTTGTCTTCAATGGTCGGCTGGGTAAGTGAATGTAAATTTTAATACGCGTATGACGGAGCGCAAACTTTATAACTTTATAAATTAATGCACGAATTTTTTGGATTTTATAATCTAGTGCCATCGGCTATAACCAACGTGGACATGACAATAGGTACAACGTCAGCCATTTTGAGTTGGAATCGCACGACCGGGGCTGACTATTTTGTTGTTGAATTTAACATCTTATCCAGACGACGAAGACGAAGTCTTCGTAGTGGTGTGAGTATAGATATGAAAACCACAATGCGTGTCATTCATTCTATCATAAATCATTATATTTCGAAAAAAAACTTTGTTGTTGAAAAGTTTGTAAAACAGAACGTTCGAAACAGTAATGCAAAGAAAAAGTATGTTGAATACTAACGATGTCTTATCGTAGTGAACTAGTGATCCATGTCAAGAATATGAATGTCAATAAAAGATCACAACCATTAGTAACTTCCCCGCGCTAAAAATACTTTATTTGTTTTTAACTTAGTTAACACTGAAGAGTGTACTCTGTTCTCTTCAAAGTCTATCATAAGTCTGTTATAATTCTAATATAAGTCTATTTTCAAAGTCTATTATAAGTTGTATATATATAAATATGTTTGTAAAGCTAATCGAAATTTGTATTTCAAGTGCTGCCTTGCTATTTCAGCGTGATAGAGTTACTGGAAATTTATATACACTCAATGGATTATCCCCCGATACTTCTTATTCGTTTTCCTTATCTCCGGGAAACTCAGCGGGAATGGGCGCAGCATACACCAGCCAATTCAAGACCAGTAGTGTGACAACTACCGTTGAGTCAACACCACCCACCACAGGTATATCTACAACACAAACCCACTTCGATTCCACAACACTTGAACAATATTCAACCACTATGACAATCCCCGGAGTGTCAACAACAGAATTTCCCACTGCACCAGAACTTTCGACAACGCCGACAGAAAACCCTACCACAACAGATTACACGTCGACCATCCAAACAGAAACAATCCATGTGAATACTACCGCATCCACATCTAAATCAATCGTAACTACCCCTGACGTGACGACAACAATCGAAACCACAAATGCCACAACTACCATCACATTTAATTCCATAATTCCCCCTGAATCGACGACGGGAAGAAGTACTGAATCAACGATACTTTCTTCATCGATTCCAACCAGTCACATCATAACTTCAACGATGGGATCTGGGCCATTTCCCAAGAGTAAGTTATTTGGAAATTTCTATACTTTAATATTTCATATATTGAATACATTCGTGTTTTATTTTGTCACAATTTAAATATATATCCATTTAAAACTTCATACTATCATAAACAAAGTATTAATCCAAGTAATGTTATTCGAACAATCCGAATATAATGCCCAACCATTGAAGATAGTTAAATCCTTTCCTAAGTAGAATTCGCCACGAACAACAATTTTTATATTATCTCTAATGTGGTAATAGGTTTCACCCATTTTCCCTACAATGCCAAATTATATATATGGGAATTGAATAAAACTTTGAATTTTACTTTCGTACAATAAAGTATGTGAGTGCTGCAGAATTGGCTGCAAAAACTATAGTTAAAATTTCCGTTGTATTATCAGGTGTTCCGTGGTGGTTCATCTTAGCAATGGTTCTCACATTTTTGATTTTGATCGTATGTGTTGCAGTCGTCATTCATTATTGCAGAAAGGTACGTTATCACTGAGTCCTTCCATGTGTAACCCTGTCAAATGAATGTTTTGTCAAGGTTTGTCTATATCATAGATTTAACACGACGTGACATTTGTGTAACGCGAATTTCTAATTTGGAATTTATTTCAATAGCGAACTAAAATTATCCTGATGACATATTAAAAATCGTCATTGTGCTAAGTATAGGCTATTCACTTTTACATAAGTTCACATTTCTTAGCAATTACAATTAAATATTTTTCAATTTTTTTACAGCGTTCTCAGCGAAGAGGCTACGCCTAGCGTTCAATGCATCGTAATTCAAGATGGAAATGTAGATTAGCAATGAATCTGTTCATTTGTTTACAAATTACTAGATGAGCTGAATGAATAATATATAAAACTCCAGTATGGGAATAATTGAACGATATAACATTTCGCGTGCACTCTGCATGTGCTGTCATTTAAAAAAAATCCCTTTCGAGAAGCCATCTCAACTTTTGGCTTGTTACGATTTGCCTCATAGTAAATATCGTTCCCTATTTATGATGGAAATTGGCTGAATACTAACGACTAGGGTAGTTCAGCAGTTCGGGTTTAGAAAGATAATAATTATCAGTTTCCCAATATACTGAAATGTATTTGGTAGTAACCGATCTTTAAAAAGTGTAGTATGACACTTGAGTTAAAATAGTTTATTTTATTTTCTTGGCTTTTTGGTTAAGTTTTTTCATTGTAATTTTTGACTCTATACATGAACTATACATATAACTAACACGATATGCTTTCTTTCTACTAACAATCTATGCATTAAATTTATCTTTTTCAACCAGTTAATCCTAATCATTTTTTTTTTTTTTGGATGCATTTAACCTTTGTAATGGTTTTTATGATTAATTGCTGTGCATTTGTGTGAAATATATGAAACTTCAATACGAATTCTTTGTCATTTTGAGTGCTTTCTTTTAGAAAAAATTTCTACTTTAATTAGGCCCAAAACGACAATGGGAGTCTAAGAAGAGTTTTCACTTTGTGGAAGACTCAAATATTATCTTTGGTTTTTGTTTGACACAAACAGCATCAAGCATCAAGAACGTGCCCATTGGGTCGATATTCGTACCCACCCTAGGATATTAACGGCGTACTAATTATCTGTTAGGGGACTGATAATTTCTGTATATATTAGTTTTAATCTCATTTTTACTGTACTGTAGTGTAGACTAGAGGGTTATGATGATAAAAATATGTAAAAATGGCGTTATAATCGCAAAAGGAGGATGCAGCGTCCAGCTAAAAATATGGATGGAACGGGATAAGACACCCTCAATATCTTAACTGAAATTTACATATGTTTTGTTACAAATAAAATTATATTCGAACACATCAATTTCATTTATAAAAATTCATAATTTTAATTCAATTTCATACCGTGACGTATCAAAATCTATTCATTCCCATCACCCATTAATAGTGCAAAAAATCGCTGACCATCATATATCATTTACTAACCGTGTATTGTTGTATGTGACATTGGAAAATGATTTAACCGGGACCTATTTCTGAAATGTTAATTTCATCATTTCATCCCATGGAGTTCAACTAATCGAAAGTCAATTGCTGAGATTTCTCGTCGTTTACGTTTTTTCTGAAACAAAATACGATCTTACGTAAATAGTGCCGTTTTTAGCGAAACGTTTTCTTTTTTTATCCTGAGGTCATTTCTGAGACAAATTTGAACAGCTATCGGAAATCAGTACTTCAGAAACGTCTTCAAAATCTGCAAGACTTTCTGAGGTGAATGAGAATAATGGGCCACAATAAGCATTGCTTCAAATATTTATATTACCAATTTTGTAAAATCATTCCTTCACGGTTCTTACTTATTATTTGAGGACGTCTCTGACAATTACTCTATTTTGCTGGTTCGGTATAAAGGGGTAATTTGAATTGATTTTAATATTTAAAAAAAAATGGATGGAACTTGTATTTTAGTTGGAGAATATGGATATTTTTAACATTGTCCTGGTTTTTAAGACTAATTGCTGTGTGTTCAGCTGAAAATGTGGATGGAACGGGATAACCCTCAATACCTTAACTGAAGCTTACATATATGGTTATTTAAAAATGATAAAATTCGAAGACTTCAAATTCATTATTAAAACCTCATAGTTTTGATTAAGTTAGATACCGCGCCGTCAGCAAACACAGTTCCATCCTATTGCTAATAAATAGTACAGATAAAAGCCGGCTGACCACCATATATCATTTATTACACATATATTGTTATAATTGACATTGGAAAATGATCTTACCGGAACTGATTTCTGAAATGCTAATTACTTCATTTCACCCAATCGAGTTCAAATAATTGAATTCAATTTTTCAGATCACTCGTCGTTTACGTGTTTCCTGAAACAAAATATGATCTTACGCAAATAGTAAGTAGTTTTTAACGATAAGTTTTTCTTTTTATTTTAGAAGGTCATTTCTGAGACTATAATTTGAACAGCTATCGGAAGTCAGCACTTCAGAAATGTCAAAAGCTGTAGGACTTCTTGAGGTGAATGATGATAATGTGCCACAAGAAGCATTGCTTCAAGTATACGAAATATACAATACCGATTTTTAATGGATCTTTCTTATTTTAAGGACGTCTCTGACAATTTCTCTACTTTTCTAGTACTGTATAAAATGGTAATTTGAATTGATTTTAATATTGAAAATAACATTTAAAATTATTTCGAAAGAAAACTTCATTTTATGGAAGTTCCTAATATTGTTATGTTCGTTCAAACCAGTAAATTTCTGGCTATGAATCAGGACGTAACTTAATCAATGATTTTATTTGAGCTGAGTTTAGTTTAAATAAACCAGAATAATTTTATAATATCTTTATAAGTAATACATTTTGGGTGAATATACTCACAGCTAAAATCTATAAACGCCATAAAATTAGTTATTTTACGTTTTATCCATACTCCAGAAATTCAAAGATTTTTTGTTTTGCCACGTTCAGCGCATGAAGGTAACACCGATTACTACTCCCCTACGTTGTTTCCCTAACGTGTTTTCATTATTCATCTCATATTATCACAACTATTTAACAAAAATTGAAAATTTGTTATTTTTAATGTTTCAATCGCAATAAATATATATATTCATAAACCTCTGGATATGGAATGTATCAAAGACTTGGTTCCTTAGTTTTCTGATAATTTCAAAATTTTTTAACTGCAAAACTATGGTAATTTTATCGTTTTTTCTTGTGAATTGTAACAACTATATACCGCATATTGAAAAATCCGTATTCTTTACTTTTATCGACGACATAGTTTCGCTATAGAATGCAAATGAACCTAATCCGTTGCAGACTTGTTAGCGTCATGCTTTAAGTTTACATTTCCTGGAGAAAATTTTATCATCTGCCAGAACAAAGACCTCAAATACAATGCTAATTATATTACACCGTGTTTAGATTTGACGAGATTATTAAATTACATGTAGTTTGAAACTGAGATAACCAAGGAGTATTTAACGTAATCACATAATACTCAATAAGGAAGCCGTCAAGCATGCGATGACTTACCATGTTAAAGAAGCCACATTAGAGTACGACCCAAACCTATTCTGTCAAGGTAAATCGATAAGTTAACATTTGTGAACTTACCATGCATGAACGTATATATTTCGCGCTCTAACAGTACGACACGCTTAATTTCCTGATCGGAATTTTAAAAAATCGAATATAAAACCTTTGCTTCTACAACAATGTCTAAAAGTTTTCTAATTTTCAACGGAACGAAATCAAATATTGGTATTCTACAAATAAGTGTACAGATTACATTTGATATACAGTTTTCAACTATATTGGCTCTAAAAATGATCTAACTTTGAAAAGGAAAATATGAGAAATCACCACCATGCGATGGCGGATAATTAAATGAATTTGAAATAGCGGAAACAGACAATTTCCCGATAAAGTTTTGCAATAAAGTTTGCTTTGTTGTAATTGATAAGATATTGTGATTATTTCATTTTCGCCCAACTGCATACCTTTGTTGCCTGGTCCGTTGCGAATTCTTATTGCCTATTTACCTTACCCAGTGATGATGAATATCAATTTCTTCCTATTAACGATTGACAAATAACTACTGCCAAATATCTTTTGTTATCTGTGATTGATGGCGAATCAATTAAGATAAAATTTCAATTATGACATTTTAAAGATATTTTGTAGCTTGGTTCAAGAAAAATCGTATTTATTTCATTGACCAACCATAGAAAGAATTCATTCACTATTTTTCAAGAGACGACTAGATATAAAATACGTTATCGAAGTTAAAAGCCCTCCAGCCGCAGTTATGAACGAATGTCAATTTTTCTGATAAAACTCATTTTGACCTTTCCCAATAACCAAATACGACATATTATTTTTTCACTAATTCAACGATTCACTTTGTTATTTAAAATTTAGTTTATCGTAGAAGTAATAAGAAATAACAATGAAAATGAGAGAGATAGTGGGAATATAAATATGAATACGATAACGCCCATGAATACGCCGTCCGACAGTTTTGGCATAAAGCATCTTCCAATAACATTTAATTTTGAAGTGTCTTTGAGAAGGTAGTTCTAGTGGTTTCTTATTCAATAAATTCTGAAATGATTTAGTGTCTGTTATTTCACGCACTGTTTTGATTTTTATTTCGTATTTCTCATAATAACGTGCATTTGACAGAAAATTAACCTTTCGCAATATTTGAACGTATAGAACAAAGATTTGTGCCTAAATTTCATTCAGACCAATGACTTCGATAAGTATGGTTTCACAAATTTTATTGATACTTTTAAAATAGATTTCTTCCCACTGCTCAGAATATAAGTAAAGCACTTTACTGCAGTTTTTGGTATTGTCATTACAATAACCTTATCAGATTTATCATATACTTTAAGAGGATAGCAATAGTTCTTGTGTTGTTTGCTGGTAATATATTATACAGAATGTAACAACCTCATCTCATGCCACCCGTGGATCGCGTATGCCACCCGCCGACAGAACTTGACTATAAAAATCCCTTTGAAATATCGAGATGAGATATGTGAGCGAGCAATATCGGTGAAATAATATAATACTATTTTGAACAAAAAGTCGTAATTTTCATATTAACTGAATAGCATTCGGGACAGAATTCGCAACTTGAGGCAAGAAGTTCACGTTTTATTCATGTATTTAGACAATAATAGTGGGGATTTTCCCAATACGCTCGCAATAACAATTCGTAAGTGCTCCGACTTCAATCGCCATTATATTTATCGAGATATTTGTCTGGAGTGGTGAAATCCAACAAAGCATTGTTCGACCGACGTCGAGTTTTTATTATTCACGAGGAAGGGTTCCTTTCACGATATTAAAAATACACTTTCGCATATCAATATGGAATTCTACGTTGATTGCCACCTCAAGAAGTCAAACAATAAAAATAAAAATTCCGATAAGTTGTAAAATTATTATTTTATCTGATATATCATATTTAATGCCTTCAATGAATCGTTACAGCATTAAGTTAGCTAAACAAGAATAGATTGAACCGCCTATAAAACTTCATTGTTATATCCTCCATATGAAGATGAGTATAATTAATCAATCAATGTAACTAAAAAGATTTACAATTTTCCTGCGTTGAATGATCATGATATGGGTAATGTTTTCAAACTACCGTAATATCCGATCCAAATCTCAAGAAAATCAACTCTTCAACGTTTTCCTTATTTTGTATCGATATTCATTTTTATCAAAATTAAAATTTCATATTTAATAAAACGAATTCTGATGAGTGAAACCGATTGGAATGTTTTGTTTAATAGCAAAAAAGTTTGAACTGTTGTGTGAAAAGCCCGTCGGGTGAGTACTCTATTGCGATCCGGGACTAAATTTAAAGACAAGTCAAAATACTTTCCGTAAAATCAGAGAAATGTATTTCCAAACGACTTCTACTTCGATGATTTATATCTAAAAAAGCTGATAAGGATAATGAATCAGGTTTTAGATTTGATAATTATACTTTAAAACCTACATTTCCACCCGCTTTCGATGGACTGCATTTCTGATGTAAAAACCCCTATATATTTAACCCATGCCATATTAGATAGATTGAGCTTCACAGAAAGGAACATACTTTTATTGATGATATTGTGCGCAAAATCCCCTAAGTCAGTTAAACGACACCCTGAGTATATATTCGGTAAGCGTGATTCGTAAAAATCTATTATCGAGTCTAATGTAAATGATATGCCGTTACTTTCACATCGATACGTAATTCAAAAGAGAAACGAACAAAAGTAAAGAAAGAGAAATGAATAGCTGTTACGGACAATTTTAAACATTAGCAGATTAGCTTTTTGTGTAAAGAAGATCATTATAGAATTATACGTCTAGCTAGATGTATATGACTGAATTAGCTTTACAGCATCAACTTATTTGAGAATAAAAGGATAGTCAGCTTTATCCATGCTTTTGTGTTGAATACACAGTGATAAAAACTTGATAGTTACGGTTACATACGGATTTCCATTAATATGGAAATTAAATAATAGTAATATGGACATATTTTGATCAAAGTTGATATGATAATTTTTTTATCGAGTACAGCTCATTGTTGGATATCACATATATGTGAGTTTATTAATATTTTTACTATTTCTTATCATTATTCTTGAAATTATTTATTTTATAGGCAAGATTTATAGGCAAAATTATAGAAAGCTTTTATCAGTTACCAATGGCCGTTGGATCGATGTAAGGCAATTTGATTATGTTTATTCACGAACTATAAAAAGAACTTACACACGGGGCAAATGAAGCTAACGCTTTAATAAAATATGGACTATTATGTTTTATATCAGTATGTGATCAACAAATACAACTTTTATGCTTGCAAGTTTTAACTTTTGAATAGATTTGAATATACATATAACCATGCACAAGTATTTTTATAACGAATTTAGCGGGTTTGGATAAAAAGTGTATTTGGTCATTTTAAGATTATATCAGCAAGAAATTTTGTATCGAACTGTCAACGTAGAAAGGTATGAGTTTTTGCATGAATTAATTTTAAAGTAATATGTGGTTCAAAGGAATTTTGCACTAAATTCTCAAGTTCAATTCACTTGAAAAAATGTAGTGAATTACGATGAATGTTCTAAAAGTCTGAACCAATTTAATGAGAAAATGTTAGATAATGCTGCTTAAACAACTTAGTTCATATATATTGGCTTGTCGGATCATGCTAAACTACTACAAACAAACTACAGTTGGGTTCAATTATATTGATCGATTAGCGATGTTCTTTATATATAGGGAATGCTAATTCTGATACAGTAAACCATACTTGAAAGCAGTTAAGTCGGAATGAAAACAACTGTTCACACCTCCAAATTTTCGATTGAGATATAACCACAAAAAGCTATCATTTATGAATTTGTCTTAGGAAAATATTTATCTCAAGCACAATATAAGTTTTCATGTAATATAAATAATTAATTCTCACTTTGCTACTTGAAAATACAATAAATATATCATCAAACTATCAAATATTTAAAATTAAGTGCATTCTTTAGAATTTTAGTAAGCTTTTTAAATTTTTGAGGTAAATGAACATATTGACACAAAGCAGACAAACAACGAAAACATGGAATTCGAATGAAGAAATATAAAATTCGACTTATTTACTGTTGCAATAGCGTGGGGTCATAGCCACTGATAGAGTTATATCCGAAGCTGTAGAATTATTATACTTTGCAGAAGGCGTGACTTTTATTTGTGAGATTTTTGTGGTGAAATTCCCTTTTAAAACTGAATTTGAGTAACAGTACACCATTTTGACTGGCTGTGAATTTAATACAGTGGGCTCCAATCGAGCTGCACGGTGAAACTTTCTTGTTCTTCAAGATAGCCATGTGTTATCGAAGTAGATCAGAACTAATTAATTGAACTCACAGTATATCACACTCATATTTTTCTAAACATCTGGAGATTACGTTCGTAGTTATGAATTTGTTTTGGTTTCACGTTCTCCTCGGCTTCATATGCAATTGTTTGCCAAATCCTGTTGCGTTTGGGGCACCAGGTAAGAATGAAGTATATATAATATATATATATATATCTTATGTTACTGGTTTGTCTCGTGTGTTCTTTTATCTCGAGACCCATTTTTGCAGTCTTTTGTTGTTGTTGTTGTTGTTGTTGTTATGATGACTTGATGTTTTATTATTTGTATCTGTGGCAGAAATGAAGATACTCTCAGTGACAAATGTGACATCCACATCTTTTGTTATTTATTTCAACGAAACATCCGAGTTTGAAAAATACCATATAACTCTAAAAGAACGGCATTCTTCTGTGTTGCTGAATCACGTGATCACATCTTCAGGCAAAAAGGTGAGTGTTCAGCATTAAAATTGCTTTTGTTTAATAAAAAATAACTTAAATAATAATAGTTAAAACAAAACGTTCAAATATGAGTAAGTTACATGATTAATATAATTCCTTTGCTTTGACTATGAAAGAAAATGTGGTTGCAAACAGTAAAATTTGAATATATATTTACTATTTGGATTCAAATTAATAGCGTACAAACCCAATTTTCAACCTTATGACTTGAATAATGAGAATATCTGTTTTCGACGGCAGTAACTGATGTGTCTAGACGACTAAATATCTGAAGTTTTTTCTATTATATATGGGGTTGTTTTATTAAATTAACTTTGTTTATTTGTCACAGATTTCTGGTTTGTTAAGCGATACTATCTACATTGTAAACATTAGAGGAGAGAACGGATCTGGGAATATTGGGCCTAAATCCAACTCCGCTACAGTACATACAAGTAAGTTACTTCTAACGTCAGAAAATTTCGGATTAAACTGACCGTATAATGCAAGTCTATTCTTTGCTGCATCAACTGAATGTGCAAACAAATAAACACTAAAAATTTATTGTTAACATTAAAGTTTATGTACACATTGTTGAGGAGCATTACAATATAAATATAGCTCAACCATGAATGTTTCTCTGTCTTTCCAAATTCTGCACCTGAAATATGCATTTAATGAGCATCGGGCAATTTTTAATTCTGTTCCAGATCCTGGACCTCCTGAGATGCGAACTAGTAATAAATTTCCCGATTCTACATTTGTTTTCTTTCATTCGAAAAACTATGCAAGAGTATCAGAATGGACAATCCAGTATAAAGAATACGGAACAAACAATATCACCACAGTCACTACAGCATCGGGGCAATATTATGCCCACTGGTAACTGAATATGATATCAGCACTGATAATCAAAAATAGAACAAATGGGACAAGTAAAATTCGGCAAATTGAAAACGCGAATGAACAGCACCATTCTTTCATTAGCAATCTCTCCGTACATTTATTTGATGCAATAACGAATACATAACAGATTCAACCTTATTGTTCTATATGGGCTATATTGGCGTATAGAGTGTGCGCTATTCCAATATATTTCAAACGATGAAAAAGGGTTAAATAAATTTTCAGTTGTATAGTACGTTCTAGAAATAAAATTCAAATCAAAGTAACACCCAGAATGAAAGTCTTGGTGTTAAATCACTTCACAAATCAACTCATATCAGTTGGAAATATTGAAATAAACATAAATAAATTATTTTCTATTTCGAGTATGTCGAATAAGGAATATTAGCCGTTTTAACATCATGAAATTTACATATCGCTTGTGATTTGTAATTATTAGGCTTTCCGGATTATTTGGAGACACAACTTACGAATTACGTGCAAGAGCTTCTAAAATATATAATACATTTCTTGAAGAACATGAAGTTGAATTTTCACCGTGGCAAAATTTTACGACGGGTTAGGCGAGAGCATATCTTTTTATTATTTCTGATATTTGAACCATAGGAAATGAATTTGTGAAACTTTATCATCTATATTTATTAGTTTTTAATGAAAACAATTGATTCCCACATTTTTTTTTATATTTTGTTGCAAGAATGGTAATGGAATGACTACCTGCGATTTAAAAAGTAGAATAGGCATTTTTATTTTGGCATCGAGATTTGTAAAAATTTCTGTAAAACCTTTTCCGTTAACATACAAAAATAAAGATGCTTACATATTTTTAATAAGATTACATTTACCTATGCGTTCTTTCGTTTTAGCTTCACATTTAATATTTGGTCGTGCTGTGCTAACAAACCAAACCACGACGGCACTAGAAAACATTAACGAAGCATATTCACGTTTGGGCATAACACACAACGGGATACGTATTATTGAAATATTGAATGGAACGTCTGAGAATCCACTCGTATTCTATGAAATGAAAGTTAAAGATAAAACGTTACCATCAAATAAAGATTACATACTTAACGGGTCGAAATTCAGCAATTCGTTTGTGAACAATGGAGGTCAGTATTGATTACTGCATTCGGGGATATTGATATTGTTAGTAGTACTCAGCCCAACATTAACTAAATAGAAAAATCATATCTTCACCTAAATAAGATTAAACCTCATCTTTAATTTAATACGTTCCGATGGATAATGACTTATCTTTTTTCTATACTTTACATATAGATAAATCTCTTGGGGTGCCATACATAAGTATTATTGAATTCGGTTACGAATTATCCTACAATCCTGATCCAAGTGACTGCAGTGACCAAACAATTGAAAGATCCATGTTGGTAACACCAGAAAATATGTCAACTGTGGAAATTCCACTCGTATTGATCGGTTCGGAAGGAGGCAGTGTAGTGTCATTCAGCATCATGGGAAATAGTAAGTATTGACTTAGATGAATCCTGTATATCATATTGTAATATTCACTTAATTTCCTTAATTCACTTAATTTTATTACAATGTGTTTTCAAAATTTGAAATAGTGATCATAAAAATACGCACCTTGATCAAGCGGTAAGTAAAATGAAAGGTCGATGTAAAAACATTTCATTATATTTACATCATATATATACAATATTTAATTGATTAAACCCAATGTCCGTTTTAAAACCAGAAAAAAGGGTTGCTGCGGGATCTAAACTTAGCTGAAACAAACTTTTGTGTATGTGTTAAGGCAAATATTATCATATTTAGATATAATCATAGAAATTATGCAAAAATATTTGTTACAGAATTGAACTCGAATGACGGCACGACTCGAACTGTTCCGACAAATACCGTTTTAGGATTGGCGACCAAGTTTTTGGTGAAAGATTGTTTGAAAAACCAGAATTCTACTCTTCTGTACACCAAATATCTTGAAGCAATAGACGTCGACACAAAGGAAATTAAAAATCCCTTCTTTTACACAACTGGTATTCATATATATTTAAATTTATCATTCAATATTATTACATTTGTAACAAATTAAAATTCTTGTTTTCATCGACGATGAATATTAATAGCTCTTTATGGCTGGAAACTATCCACATCGAAGTGGATTCGGAATGTTGCATGGTCGTGCGAGTGAATGACCTGTGAACCAATATATGACGAATTAACATGTTACAATGATTCTTCTACAGTGTTTAATGGTGATTCAATCAACATTAACGCAACTACGTACTACTGGATAAACAACGGCTCTTCGATTATACTGAATATTCCTTCTGTTGATAAAGCAATCCTATATGAAATATCAGACGAAGCAGGAACCGTTTCAACCATTATTGACGAAGACGGCATCGATGGTTCGAATTTCTTGAAGGTACATACGAGTATGAAAAGTTAAATTTTATATAAAAAAAATATCGTGTATACGAAAATGTTTGAGAACTATGGCGTGAAAGAATGGAGAATGGTCTGATGCAGTAGCTTGGATGATTTTGTTTCATAACTATCATGCATATTTCTGTTATCGACGCTGCATACAAAAATAACTGCCATCAGTACCAAGCAGTATTTTTCACAATCGATTTTCAACTTGTTAAAGGTTGAAGTTCCCAACACGAAGAATGAAACAGAACGCAGTTTGACACTGACTGTCACTGCACGAAAACATGATGGAACTGAATCCACTTCTGAAGCCGCGATGACTCTTACACTATGTAAGTTTTAGCATTTTACAGGCGAAATAGTTGTATGTCTCAAATGACATTGGGGTTATTGGGTAGCTTGATAATATACATAATTTTGAGCTTGGTCAGAACTTTGTTTCAACCGATAGTGTGAAAAACTTCCGATAAAACAACGATGTTTTTCGGCTCTTTTCACTATTTTTTCTCATGAAAAACCGGGATATCACTCAATATATGGATAACATGGATTGACTCATAAAATTTATTTAAATCATATCTCTTTCTCAGATAATGATATGTGTTCAGTTTGTGATGTAAATGCAACTTGCACGAGCAACATATATGCAGTGATAACTTGCAAATGTAATCATGGGTTCACTGGAAATGGAACAACATGTGTACGAGATGACACAACATCCAGCACAACAGGGTTTACAACAGAAAGAAACGAAATAACGACAGGTAAGAAATATTCGATTAAGATTAGCAGTTTTATTAATCAATTAAAAGATACTTATCTGACACGGATGGCTCATTTTGGGATCATTTTTGATGACATTGAGCATTGAAATATATATTGTTCTCTGATGTAGGTGCTACTGCTACTACAACAGGCGAAAATTACTTATATACATCATCAGGAATTTCAGAAACTTCATCCAACGTGAACGTAACTACTGAAATGCCTCAAATAACGTCATCGTCAGTAACATCTCTATCCCCCGATATAACTCCTACAATGTTTGATATATCGACTGCAACGGCATCAAATGTGGCATCAGTAGCTACCACAAGTACGTATAGTCGGGGTCGGCAAACTGCGGCCCGCGGGCAAAATGCTGCACGCAAATAAGTTTTTGTATCTCTCTAATGACCTAATTTTCAACACATCAAAACAATAATCAATCGAATAATATTATCTACACACAGATTTATTTCTCAACAGTCACTGCTGTACCGCAGTTGCTTTGTAGTGAGTAGCGTAAGCGAAAGCACTGTGGTATGCTGTTCACACGCCGAACGTGGCTATACTGCTAGTGGTAATCATTCGTTTCGTTTAGTTTAATATCTGCAATTTGGCATTAAAAATGACTAGGGTGCATAGAAAGGTCGGGGACAAGGGTTTAACGTTCCAAAGTGCTTGGACGGAAATATATATTTTATTGAGCATTGTTAAATTAATGCGACCCGCAGGCTACCGGAAATGTGTATATATATTTGGTCAAGTACATAAAGTTTGCCTTCTATTGGACGTAGAGCATAGTTTTATCATTGGCTTTATTGGAAACGAAATTGATCTAGTGATCGTTTTGCTGAATTGTTGTGTTCATCTGCTGGGGGTGAGACAAAAGCTGCCGAACCGTTTGCGGCTAAAATATCAGTATAGTTAAAGCTGGAAATGACTCATAAAAAGCTATTTTGAATATTCTCAGATCATTGTGAGTATCAGCATTCCTTTGCGTTCAATAGATATATTCCTAATACTGACGATAAGAACGTATGTTCTGTAAATAATTTTATCAAATCAAAAACTAAAACTGTCGCACAAAAACTGTACGCGTGCAGCATGCACAGATATCATAGCATCTGCTCCCATTACCAGCACAGCAAAAATCGTTACAGAGAGAAATAAAATAACGACTGGTAAATTAAAAACCGGTCATTTATTAAATTAGAATAGCCGGCCACATACTTATACAAGGCTCTTATACATATTTCCATGGAAGGTGATACCACTGAAGATACTACCCCAGGAACGAACGACTTACCTACATCATCAGGACTTACACGAAATTCATCAACTATGGATGTAACTGAGGAATCGTCAAAAACACTTTCATCGACTTCACCATTCCCAGATATAACTCCTACTGGGAGCTCTGATATATCGACATCAGCAGTGTCAGAAGAAACGGCATCATTTTCTGCTTCAGAGGCTTCGACAAGTACGTATTAGTGTTATGGTCGCTATTTCATTTAATGAGCGTTTCTAAATCAGTGGTTCCCAAACTGTGGGTCGCGACCCCGGATGGGGTCGCCTAATTTCGGTCAAACATGCGATTTGAAAGTGGAACTTGTTTTGGTCGCCGAGTAAGGTAAAAGTGCGTAACTTCGGATTTTTCAGCAATAATTTGGCCATTTTCTGTCCAAACGACGCCGAAACTAATTAATAAAACTTTCATGTAGTACTTAACCTTTCCATCTAGTCGGCGGGTATTTGTTTATTATTTTGTTCAACCAGAGTTGAATGGTGTGCTTGGAAGTCTAAATTGTTATCTGGCTTTCTAACGGTTTAGTCGGGAATAAAAGATAATAATTTTGGCACCATAAAAAACTGAAAATCGAATGCGGTGGCTATGTCTGATAACTAAATATTAATGTTATGGCCTAACAATATAATTCATACCGGGTGTTTTTTGCAACCAGCAGTATTACAAAAAATGACGCCCTGATGTCAAAAAATTAGTAACTACCCTCCTGTACCGCACATCTGGTGATCAATTTATCTGAAGTTTTTGGGTAAACATGAGTTCGAAAACAAAGCTGACGAATTCAAACAGATTTTAAACTGAATGTTGGAGGGAATATACCACAATACTTGCATGATATGTTGGCAAGTTGTGTCGGTGTCAAAAGAATGTAATTTAAAACGGCATTTTATAATCTTGTGAGCCATGAGAATTTTACAAAGTTAAGATTTGGCTTTGAAAATCTTATCGATGTTCAAAAGCACTTAAACTTGCGGAAGTTTAAATCTCACTCTAAATTTAGATATAGAAAAACTTTTGCTGGTTTTTGCATGATAAATGATAAAACTGATCAATGTGTTTGCACAACAAAAGTGTTTGTATTGTATGTTTGGCTATTCCCAGCACTATTGTGGCCCGCGAACAATGCAAAAATAATTTTGTAGCCCACGGAGCCGACAATCTTAGACCACCCTGCTCTAGCATAATAAAAGGCACTCAAAAGATGGGATTCCGTACACGTTTTTCCCTATTTTACTCTCATGCTTTGTTTCACTTTCGAATTGATAATGGAGCAATCTGTAATATGTTAACATTGAACTAAAAATATTAAAAACATTGATGGAATATGCTAAATAAAGTTTCAAATTTATGTATATTTAGAAGCAATCTTACTATTTTCAAAGTATCGTACGCAACCTTACAATCTACCACATTTTATCAAGTCCGTCTATGGGTTGCCGTAGAACCGTTATATTTCTGATCGAAGAGATTTTTACAATATGGTTTTCCTATGATGCCATGGGTTTTCAAATCTTTAGAAGTTTTTCAGGCGCATTGCCGTACTTATTCGCATACTTTTTTTGGGTCAATGTCCACTTGCAGTCCATATGCAGGTACAATTGTTCCCGTTGAGGCAATTGAAACTGATATATATATTGATTTTTGAAGTTGCTGAACGTTTCTAGTTGTGGGGTCGCGAGTATCTGTAGGCTCTGATTTCATGAAAATTGGGGTCGCAAAAAACAAGCTTGGGAACCACTGATCTAAATTATTGTCTGCATTTTTTAGGGGCGATTAAGGTTTTCATTCTTCTTAACCACTAGACCATTTTGTTCCAAATTGCTTTTCAGGGCTATTTTGAATGTTTTCAGATCATTATAATTTTTTTGCAAGAAAAGTAGCTTTAGATAAATGAAAAATTCCCAACCTTTAATCAAAATTGACGTTATGATCAAAAAACCCGAATATTCTTTTGCATTTAGATTTCTGGAAATGGTGGATAATATTGCTGATCGTCATAGGAGCAATTATATTGTTTGTAGTTGTCGGAATCAGTGTGAGTTGTTACCTTCGACGAAAGGTTTGTTGTTTATATTTCATTGCAATACGTCTGTCTCTCTTTCATCAATAATATTGTACAATGTACATGATATTGGGTTAGGAGGTTCCCAGTGACAGAATGTTCAAACAACGTTGTAAAGGCCCTTCACAACATTATTACAACTCCACGGTTATATAACCAACTAGTGTCCCATAAGCCAATTCATATAAGAGTCCTATGTTAATATTTTACCGTTTCAACGAATGTTCAACAACGGATAGTTTTATACTCTTCATTGTAATCGATTATTTTAATTTTACCAGTGCCGCCCAGTCTTACCTTCTTACCGACCATTTCTGAGAAGTTCTCATAAAATATACAAATGTTACTTATGTCGATATGAACTCCATTCGTAATATTTCCAAAGGTTCAGTTATGTTAATAATAACATTTGTATAATTTGAAAACTATATATATTTTAGTGGAAAGCAGAGCTTAGGATTGGTGGCGCGGTCGCTGAGAGGCGTAAAAAGAAAATGGAGAGATATCGGTGCCGCTGCTGCCCGTGGGTAGCCACCCTCTTAATAGCTGAGGAGAGTTCTTATTGGTCTATTGGGCCTACAAATACTTCTGAAACTGCTGAAATGGAAAACGAACATCAAGATGTATCTTGTTGTCCGTGGGCAGATAAACTGTGGATTAATAAAGACAAAGCAACTGAGGTTGACAGCGGTCCCAGTTCCAAAAGATCAGAAAATTCGGATAAAGAACGCAGTTCATGCTGTCCGTGGGTATCAACATTGTGGATAAATCGAAGTACTCGGGAATCTAAATTAGGAATTAATGACAATCAACCATCTTCATTTCGCGAAAGTGATGATGTAGACTCCTCGAGGTCTGAAGACCGCATGGAACACTCTCACACTTGTTGTCCATGGGCAGCAAATTTATGGATTAATCGAAGCCAAACGGCCATATATGAAGAAAATGAGCAGACAAATAAGAGACGTTATATATGCTGCCCTTGGACTGTGAATTTAATTATTAATCAACGATCTAACAATGGTGAACAAGTAAATGCAAACAGTAACACCAGAAAAGCTATTGTCGAGAACCGAAATTTGGGCAATTTGAGAAAATGTAAAGAGGATATTGACAATATCGATTCCACTGCGTTGTAGTTGTAGTTTACTCAGCATCACACATTGCATACATATGCTTGTTCATTGAATTTGAAAATGTTTACAATTCAGTGCGGCGACGGGGATATGATTTTGATGTTTAATTACATCCTCACGATATAGAATATAGATTGATAGATTTGATCAATAACATATATCATAGTCCATCCTGTAAAAAATAACATAAAAAGTTGGAAGAAAAAATTCAACACACAATATCACTGGAGAAGGAAAGCCGCGGAGAACCAAAACTGCACCAAACAAGGTTCAATATCTTTTTAATTTGTAAGGAAGGAAATTTTAGAACACTTTTATTATTAATGAGTATGGCTTTGGCAGCTGAACCGCCAACAGCATTCACTAGAGTACTAGACGAAGAGCTTATATGAGACGACCAAAAAAACCATGATTGTTACATGGCAACATTGTTATGCCTTTTCTCTGATCGAATCCACCATTTTAATTGTGGGGTATTCCCTGATTGGTCCTGAAAAATACAATAATAATCATTTAACGTAAAAAGAGACAAGTAATATGAAATTGCGAAATTGAAATTTACGTTTGAAATGTTCAAAAAAAATACGGTCTAATGAATGAATTTGTTTAAATTTGAAAAAATCGACCGCTTATACTAATTTAAATAATCGTCTTTATTATGATATCATAATTGATTATGTTGTGCCGCATGACGGCATTGTTGAGAAGGGGGCTCATAAATGGCATAGCCTATAGCTAGGGCCTCTTATCGTTCAGATCCGACCCTAGATCCGGCTTCCACAAAAAGCAATACCGTGGTAATTTTAAGACAAATGGCCCAGACCAGTGGCTTTCAACTAATCTTCCGCGACTTCTAGGGTTTCGCCAGTTTAGTGTAGGTCTTTAATCCCTTATTTAAATCTGAGAATTCTATATAATAATATGCATATTCTTTGGATATAATCGAATATCTATCAGGTTTGCCATGATTAAATAAACTCGCTACAATTTGAAGCCCATTTCCTATTGTCATTATTAGGATTTATATATATGAGCATTTTAATTTTATCAATCAAATTCGATTTTTTTGCATTAAAAATATTGCACAGTTCTTCGAGCCTCTGAAATGTTTTATTGGGGATCCTCGCAAAGTGTCGCAAAGTCTATTGTCATGGAGTCCAATTTTATGAAGATGATAGTTTAAACAAACGTGGCCTGTTTGTAGTCTGAGATTATAGATATATGAGATTATTTTATATCTTCTAGCTAGATAATTTGCAGAAAATATGATCTTTAACAGATGGAAAAAAAAATTGAAATGTTGAGCTAGTCACTAGTATGATATAATAGGTATATCATGTCGCACTTTGTATTGATAATTGACTTTGCTTCGTTTTTCGAGAGTTTGATGACTGAAGTACACTTTTTTCTTGCATTGTTGCTTTATTTTGCTAGTTTATCTCCTTTTTCATTGCCAGTAATTCTAACATGTCCTGGGATTCACGCGAAATCTACGAAAATATTTTGTCTCCTGAGAGAAGAAAGATTAGTTTTATTTTTAAAAAACAGCATATGATCTATGAGGAAAATTTTACCTAGGACCTGTAAAAGGCCCAGATAATCGGTTAAAATCAAAACGTGTGACGGCCGATGCAAAATTGCCCACGGTAATTCCCTGTACATAGCATAAAGTTCAGTTGTAAACTTTTTGGAAACGTCATACTTTATTGACCGTAATTCTCGGTAATATATTCATCACATGCTTGTTTACTTATTGGTAAGGAATATGTTTTTGAAATATTATTAGAAAACAATACATCAATATTTTGAAGTTTCATTTCTCAAGGCGGTGACTGGAGAGCTGGTATTTAAAAACATCCGACCAACATGTGGTTAGCATGTTGAAGGTTTGAAACAAGGGTGACTTTGGATAAAGCTCGAATCATGTTTGACTTATTATGTTGGTTTTCGGATATCGACTAATCGATGAAATTTTGCTCTTATATCTCAAGCCTGTTGGTGACGAAATTTAAGCGGAATCTCTTTACAGGTAACATCTAGGCAACAGATCGGTGTGCTGGGAAAAGAGCCACAGCAAATACGAAGAAATTTATTTTGTATCAGTGGTATTTTCCTAATTACATACTTTGGTGCAAAATAATAGGCTTCTATTTCGTATTCAATTACTGAACATAATTTATGCAAGGTTTCTTTGGAAGCTTTCCACACTGTAAAAATTTTTGTAATTTTACAGTCATTTCTTTGTAAAAAATACGATCGGCAGTATTTTGGACGAGCAACTATTTATACGTATTTTTACATCATCGTGTTGTAATTTCACCGCTTGTACGATGTAAAATTACATATACTGTTGCATAATCATAAAACAAACATACGGTTGTTAAATATACAATGAATTATACGTAACATACAAAAACGGCTGTACTGAAAACAGCTATCTCGCGGTTATGTTAAAATAAGTCCAGTTGGTAGTAATCAAAAGCATAGAGCTCAGAAGACAGTCTCCCACATATTATCAGCAAAATGCATGCCAATAAAAAATACATTGGTGCGACGAATTTGGTTCCAAACTGATACAAATTTGGCTTCGCGTCATAAGGCGCAAGTCATACAATGCTACGTAAACCTGCGGCTTCGTATGTCATCTCGACATAGAATTTACAGCTTACGATAAAAAAAAATACTAATATTGCACTTAATATTATATCGAATGGAAGGATATTTTATTTTAGGCAATATGTAAACTGGTGATTCAACTGACAGCACTCATTCTCAAACGGACAGGTCTACTTGCAGTCACGACTCCAACTACTGGTGAATCTAGTAGTTTTACGCTGTATCGCTATATCTTTTATCGGACCAAAGTATATGCAAATGTTTTGGTTAATATAATTTTGAATTGAGTGGCATATTTTCTTAATTTAACTATTTGCTTCAAATTTTGAATTTTCTGACTCCGCCAAAGCCTGACGTACTTTCCCGCCAAAATGGCTGTTTAGTGCGGATTCCAGTTTCGCTAGGAAGCAGCTTGGCTTGGTTCGACTCTCAAAACAATTGAAGTAGCCTAGTTTGAATATGTGAACCTGTATATTTTACACTATGCTGCCTGAAGGTTGTAAAACAGAAATTAAGGAGAAAGAAATACCGTTATCTAGGTTGTAAACTCGAGACGGACTAAAAGTAGGCACTTGCAAATTAGGCACTTATTTAGGCACTTTGGAAAAAAAGTAAAAAGGGCGTAATATCTTTTAAAAACATAATTAATTAGTTAAAAATTGTCAAATTAAATGTTGAAAACGCAAATTGCAACGGGCAAACTCAATAGCAATATTTAAAACGCAGTATTAAAGGCAGTCGCACGCGCTTGGTCACCACATATGCTAGGCACATATTTAGGCACTTCGAAAAATAAATAAAATGGCATATTCACTAATAAAAGACAGAGAAATAAACATATTACCCACACTGATTAGCCTGAGTAAATATCTAAGATATGCACTTGAGTCTAGTACTGGAATTTGGAAATAATAAATTGTTACCGGTAGGCACTTTTTTAGGCACTTATTTAGGCACATCGAAAAAAAGGTGAAATGGACGTAGTAACTCCTAGAAAGATAATGAATTAGTTCAAAATATTCAAATTAAATGTTGAACGCGAAAATTGCAACAGTTAAACCTAATAACGATTTTTAAACCGTAGTATTGAAGGGAGACGCACGCGCTCTGTCACCACGTATGCTAGGCACATATTTTGGCACTTCGAAAAATAAAGAAAATGGTAATTATCACTAATAAAAAACAGAGAAATAAACATATTACCCACACTGATTAGCCTGGGCAAATATCCAATAGATGCACTTGAGTCTAGTACTGGAATTTAGGAATAATAAATTGTTACCGGTGGGCACTTCGAAAAAAAGGTGAAATGGACGTAGTAACACCTAAAAAGATAATGAATTAGTTCAAAATATTTAAATTAAATGTTGAATGCGGAAATTGCAACAGGTAAACCCAATAACGATTTTTAAAACATAGTATTAAAGGGAGACGCACGCGCTCTGTCACCACATATGCTAGGCACATATTTAGACACTTCGAAATATAAAGAAAATGGTAATTATCATGAATAAAAATACAGAAAATAAAAATATTAGTCAAAATAATTAGCCTATTTGAATATCCGATGAATGCACTTGAGTCTAGTAGTGATATTTGAGAATAATAAATTGCTACCGGTAGGCACTTTTTAGTCACTTATTTAGACACTTCTGAAAATGCGTAAAATGGGCGTAATAACTTTTAAAATGATAATGGTACAGTATAGGAAGATTCTTTCGGGGGTCAAAGGTCGGGGAAAGGTCCATTGCAATTGATTTGAGACATATATTGTTTCCAGACAATTGCGTATCACCACTGCTTTAATTAATGAACTCTTTGAACCCTGGCGTCTCTGAGCTAGCAAGATTAACTAGTATGACCAATATCGTGCAACTCCCATTTATACTACGTTTAAAAGATTGTTATTGGGTTTACCTGTTGTACTTTGCAGGTTCAACATTTAATTTTGACTATTTTTAACTAATTCATTATCTTTGTGAAAGTTATTAATACCATGTTACCTTTTTTCTAAGTGCCTAATTGATGGTACCTACCGGTAACAATCCAAAATTTTTAAACGGCACTAATAAACTGAAGCGCATATTCACATATGCTAATTAGTGTGACTAATATTTTTTATTTCTCGCCCTTTTATTGGTGATAATTCACATTTTTTTATCTTTTCGAAATGCCTTAATAAGTACCTAGCATATGTGGTGATCAGTGTTCCCTCTAAGGTGTGCGCGTGTGCGCGCGCACACAGCTTTCAGAGGCAGCGCACACGCATAGATTTACTGCGCACAGACGTATTTCGATGTAATGTAACAATGTTCTCCGTTGGCAGGTTGAGAAAGTTTGTTTTTTGGCCCACCCATTACCCGGTTAGAACGCCAAAATTTCTCCATTGGTTTTTGCACAAATATTAGTCATTTCCAAAAAAGTGCGCACACACCAAAATTTCTGCGCACACATACTACGAAAAATTAGAGGGAACATTGGTGGTGATCCTTCTAATACTACGTTTTGAATATTATCATTGTTTTTACTTGTTGCACTTCGCGTGTGCAGCATTTAATTTAACTATCTTTAACTAATTCATTAATTATGTTTTTAAAAGAGTTATTACGCTCATTTTAATTTTTTTTTTCGAACTGCCTATCGTGTTTCCCCGAAAATAAGACCTAGCCTGAATTTTAAGAATTATATATAATATAAGCCCTCCCCTTAAAGTAAGACCTAGTCAATAACGCGAATTAACTGACCTAGTGGATAGCAAGAAATCTCTCCTACGCGTTTTAAATACCTAATAATCTACGTTCAACAGATATTTTCAATAAAAACGTGTTATTCATAAGTAAATTGATTTTGGTTTTTATATTTTGCATATTTGAAAATATCTTAATTCTTTACTTTGTAATTTTGTTTTTGATAAATTAAAATATAAGACATCCACCAAAAGTAAGCCCTAGTGGTAACTTTAGGAAGAAATTTGAAATAAGACACTGTCTTAATTTCGGGGAAACACGGTAAAAGGTGTATACCGATAACAATTTATTATTCTCAAATACCACTACTAGACTCAAGTGCATCTATTGGATATTCACCCAGTCCCAGGCTAATCATTTTGACTAATATTTTTATTATTTCGATGTTACCAAAATATGTGCCTAGCATATGTGGTGACAGAGCGCGTGCGTCTCCCTTTAGTACTAAGTTTTAAAAATCATTATTGGGTTTAACTGTTGCAATTTTTGCGTTCAACATTTAATTTAAATATTTTGAACTAATTCATTATCTTTCTAGAAGTTACTACGTCCATTTCACCTTTTTTTCCGAAGTGCCTAAAAAAGTGCCTACCGGTAACAATTTATTATTTCTAAATTCCAGTACTAGACTCAAGTGCATCTATTGGATATTTGCCCAGGCTAATCAGTGTGGGTAATATTTTCATTTCCCTGTCTTCTATTGGTGATAATTCCGATTTTCTTCTTTTTTCGAAGTGCCTAGCATATGTGGTGACCGAGCGCG